AGGAAAAGACTGTTCAGACCAGATGGAGGAAGGCCTGAATCCAATTTAAGAAGTTTAGTCTTCATGGGATACTGAGAAGCCACAGGTATTTTTTTCCCCAGTTTAAAAATGTTTTTAAAAGTTATTTTGAAATGTCTCGAACATATGCAAGAGTGAAGAGAAGATTATGATTCCCCATCACCTGGCTGCAAAAAGGATCAATTGCACTGATGGCTTTTGAATAGAGACGCATTCCTTGAGGATAATAGGGAGACATATAGGACAGATAATAAAAGAATGAGTGGATTTATAGGTATCTGAACAACTGAATCACATGGGATCCACTCTCACCCAAGGACGTATAAATATGGGAAATAAGATTTTTCCTATAAGGAGTTAAGTTATGAAATCAACACATAATGGGCAGAATAGACAGAGGCAGAATTTCTTCCAGGGCAATGAATGGCTCTCAGAGCGACCAGATCTGCAGTAACCCGCTGCATGTATTGGTCCCGCTAAAGAGGGGATGGGTCTGCCAGGAAGGAGGCTGGTCCGCAATCAAAGGAAGGCACCTGGGTTGCCCATTCAAACACTGTGACCAGTTCCCCTTGTTCCACATCTGCATTTACCAAGTGACTTCTGATAGTTTGGCTTTCCACATAGATTACCTTTGGGAGAGAAGGAGCTGGCCAAACCAATGCGAACTAGTCCAACGGGGCGTTACACCTCTTGTTTACATTAGTAAACAGGCACTCTGGTTTTATACATCAGCTTCCTGAGGACTTGGTCAGTATGAGTCATTTTCTCAAGAGTGACCAATGGTGGAGAAACCAACAAGGTAATTCCCAAGCCTGTAAGTCTGAAGAGCCAGCCTGGAACCAGGTAACAACGCTCCAGTAAATGCTACCTCATTTTAATAGGGAAAGTCGTTCTGCGAAGCAGCCAGATTAAATATAGGAGAGACTTCCAGGTGAATGCTAGAAATATTTCGCAAGTCTTTGTTTACCTTTGTAGGCCAGAGGCAGGCCTACAAGGCCAGGCTGAGTGAGGAAGGGGTGGCTCCAGAGGTCACAGCACCGGGGGAAACAGCACAGGACAGTGGGAGAGGTAGTTGTCTGGAACTCAGACCACCTGGGCTCTGGTCTCATCACTGCCACTAAGTCTCTGGATGACAGTAAATTAACCCTCTATTCTTTGGGACCTCTGTTCACTTACATGCAAAATGAAGAGGCTGAGCTTTCCTTCTAGAACTGACATCTTATCAGTCTATGAGAAAGAGTTTTCTTCAGGGCTTACCATGTA